AGGGTGAGATTTAGAAAGACGGAGAAAGAAATGTTAAACTGATTATCAGATTGCTTCGGAACGACATTCTCCTTTTGCTTGCGGAATCACAATGTGGGTGGCAGAACGGAGTATATTTTTGTTTTTTAATCACTGACTCAACCCAGTAGTAAAGTAACGGTTCTGCCATAAAGCATGATGTGGTTAGAATGACTCAGAGGGACAGCCCAGGTGGGAAACCGTGGGACACTAGCTAATTCTGCAGCTTATGAAGGACACAGGAAGCTTAAATAAAATGCATGATTCTGCTATAAATTTGAAGGAAACTAAAAATTCAAAGCAAGGATCCATTTGCTGACAATGAAAGTGGTAGAATGTTTCTTGCGATCTCTTAAACTGAACTCTCAGGACTCTGTTAGACGGACTGGTATCAGAATAAAGCACCCCGGACATGCTCTGGTCAGCTGGTTTGTTAGAATTCACTCCTGCAGACTTTCTGCCATCTTTGGTGCCAACTAAGCAGTGTTCTGGTTAAACACAGGATTATTTGATCGAATTCCATGGAAATCCTCACAGGCGCTTAAGGCAAGCAGCAATTTAGCATTTAGAAAAGTGGTTTTCAATTTCTAGAAAACAGCACTCACAGAACATCTTCCACCACAGCCCAGAATATAAACACACACTGGTTCTACAGGCATTGCTGAATTGTCTTTCATAAAGGTTGTATAATTTACACTCAAAAAACTTTGTAGGAGAAAGCCTGTTTCCTCACACCTTCCAAAATGGTATTACCAAACTTTTCAGTCTTTGCCAACCTCATAGGAGAAAAATGGAATCTCACTGCAGATTTCATTTCTCTTATTATGAGTGAACATCTTTTTCTTTAAGTCATTTACATTTCCTTTTCTAAAACTGTCACATTCTTTGCTCATTTTTCTATTGATAATTTCTTCTCTGAGTTTTTTCTATGTGTATATATTGAAAGTAATTTTTCTTTCAAAAAATAATTTTTTTTTCAAAAAGAAAAATAAAGTTTGTTGTCTTATTTATGGAAATTATTTCTATGCAGAGCTTTTTCATTTTTACATCATCCAACTTAGCATTTTCTTTATGGCTTCAGGGTTTTGTGTCCAACATAAGGAAGGTCGTCTCATTCTGAAATTATATACTTAAAAATCATTTTTTTTTCTTGACCTATGGAAATTACTATGATGTAAATAGTGAGACAGGAATGCCTTTCCTTTCCTCCCCCCAGGTGGCTATCCAGTTGTTCTAATACCAGTTATTGAAGAAACTGTATTTTCTACAGAGATATCATAAATTACTGTATATATTAGGTCCATTTCTGGATTCTATTTTATTTCATTGAACACAGAAGGTGCCAGTACCTTATCACTTTAATTCCTGTTGCTTGAAGTATGTTTTACTAATGGGTAGAACTAATCTTGCTTTATTACTCTTTTCAATATTTTTTTCTGGCTGTTTTAGTGTGCTTGGTTTTCCTTAAGAACTTCAGAATAAGCTTTTTTTTTTCTTTTAAAAATGAAGTTGCAAAAAAAATAAAAAATCAAGTTGCGAGTTCACTGCGATTACCTTAAATTTTTAGGATAATTTAGGGAGAATTAATGTCTCGGACAAAACCGACTTTTTGCAATTGCTCAGGTCAAAAGCTTAGGAGTCATTATTATATGATTTCTGGCTGGCGCCACACGGCTTGTGGGATCGTAGCTCCCCGACCGGGCCCTCAGCAGTGAAAGCGCAGACTCCTAACCACTGGACCGCCAGGGAATTGCCTAGGAATCATTGTTGATACACATCTATTTATTTCTCCCACATCCTTCATGTGATCTGTCAGCAAATCCCGTGAGCAGTTCTCTCAACACACATCCAGAAGCTGATCACTGCTCACCCACCTCCACCTCCCATCCTAGTTCAAGCCATCATTATTTTCACCTGCATTTCTGCAACAGCTTCCCCACTCGTCTCTCCCTGCCTCCCCTTCTGCTTCAGTCCATCCCCAACACAGAAGCCACAATAAACTGTTGAAACAAAAGTCAGATCGCCTCACTCCTCTGCTCAAAGCCCTCTATAGGATGGAATATTATTCAATCATGAGAAAGAGGAAATCCCGCCATTTGTGACAACATGGATGGAACTTGAGGGCCTTATGCTAAGTGAAATAAGCCAGACAGAGGAAGACAAACACTGTATGATGTGTATGTGGAATCCGAAAAAAGCTCAACACGTAGAAACAATGTGGATGGTGGCTGCCAGGGGCTGGAGGGTTGGGAGATGCTGGTCAAAGGGTACATACTTCCAGCTATAAGATGAATAAGTTCTGGGGATCTAATGTCCAGCACGGTGACTATAGGTAACAATACTGTATTTTATGCTTAGCAAGGCAAATAGATATCCTAACTGTTCTCACCACACGTAAAAATAATTATATGAAGAGATGGAGGCGTTAAATAATCATAGTGTGATAAGTGTATCAAATCATCACGTTGTACTTACACAATGTTATATGTCAATTACAGCTCAATAAAGCTGGGGGAAAAAAACCCTCTAGAGGCTGTCCGCCTTACTCAGAGTAAAAAAAAAAGACTTGGAGAAAAAGATACTAAGGGAAAAACTTAACAGATGGCATTTGTCAGCATGTAGTGGGAGTGAAGTGTTTCTCTTAGCAGATGGATGGCCATTCTTGTAACCACTCCATGATTTCTCCGTTATCATGAGAATTTTAAATAAATAGCATCCACCAATTAAAATTTTATCTTTGGGCAGCCCCTGGAAGGCGAGGAATATTTAGTGTATTCCGCATTTATCGAATGAAACGGCCAACTGACAAATCCTAGATTTAGTCATCTTCAGAGAAATAGGACAGAAAAAGGAGGAAAAGTTTTCACTTTTAATTTTTCACATTTGTGTTAAAAGAAAAATCACACTATTGGGTAGAATTTGAAAAAGGTGTGATTTTAAGAATTCAAAACAGACGGTGAAAAGAATGTAGGAATTAATAAAGTGTTTGCATCCACTGAAACCTCAGAGGGATTCAGATTTTCCGAGGATACAAGGGTCCAAGTCTTAGTATGTTCCTTCGCAAATGAGGTGGGCAGTGATCCAGAGCACCTACTGCCCTCCGTAAAAACACATGCAGTGTCACCCTGTGGTAGCCGCAGAATGAAACTCTGGAGCATGTAAGGGCAAAGGATTCTTCAGTCTACACACAGTGAGGCTGCTGAAGCTTGTCCTCTGTAATTCCATACATGAAAACCTTTCTCATCTCCTTCTGCATTCTAAACACGGTCATAGATTAAAACTTTCAAGGCTAATTTCTAACCACTTAATTATGAAGCAAAATGATTTCATCTGCATCCTCCCCCCAACGCTGGGGACAGTTTCCTCCTTTTATAATTTGCATTCTCTTTTATGAATGAAATAAGAAAGAACTGATCATAGAGACGGTTTGTTGTTTAAAGCATCAAGAAGAGTGTCCCAACAGGCCAAATCTAAAAAGACCTCTTATAGCACCAGAAGGCTGCAGAGAAAACGAGCAAGGTCACTTCAAACTTCCCAGCTGCCAGCAGTAACAAATAGGGGAAAATGGGCAGGGGTGGGAGTGTTTCCTGTCTATCTTATCACCACCATCAGCAGGTTATAATTTATTTTGGAAACTGGATTGATACAACAAACCCAGGAAGAAAATGCTCACACCTCTAGAAATGGTGGGAAAATTGAACTAATTTTCTTATTTTGGGTTCTTTTCAGTATGAAATGAAAGCTATTAAAGTTATTTATGTACTCAGGTATTAGCTCTCAGGTATTCTCTTCAGTTCTTCATATAAGCAACAACTGTAAATCTGTAATAGTGAAAATTCTTGCAGGACAAGGTCATTAAAAAAGTCCTACTCCAAATCCAACGTCTTGCTCCTTTCCCATTATACTATGCAATGTGGCTTTAACTGGTCTTCGGTAATAATGCAAAATTAATGACAAATGTTATTAGCACTCTGAAAGGCATATCTTGTCTTTTTAAAAATTAACGGTTTTCATATAAAATTTGTTCCATCTTTTGTATACTTTCATCAGCGGCTTTCAAACTTTTTTTCACCATTACTCACTTTAAGAAATAAATTTTACATAATACTTACACATACACACCCCAAAATACCCTTACAACATGTAGTATATACTGGTATTTTCTGTTTAATCCTATTCTAGTCCATTCCATTAGAAAAACTGCTGGTAAAGACACTCAATTAATTTCTTCACTAATGGATCACAAACTGCAGTTTGAAAAACACTTTAGACCATACATCACTTCCTGATTTTGTCAAATAATCAAAAACACTGAAATTCAGAATCATAGATTACCAGGTAATTCCTACCAGATAACACCTCCTGTTCTGTTTTCACTCCATGGGGCTTCTTTGGAGGTCTGGATTGAAGGTGGGCTCAACATTTCAGAGTGGATTTGTGGTCATTTCTACCACTTGTCCAGAGGTTCTACCCGCCTGGTACCATCCTGGCTTGAGGGTTTTTTTGAGATTGCCCACATGGGGGAGGAATTTGGGCTGAAACCCAAGTATGAGATGAATTGTTATGGGTGCAGGAGAGTACATGTATGTATACTGACATTTTCTGCTATACCCAGAACCAAAGTTCAAGACCAGAACTCTTCCTCAGGGCCCCCACGGGGGACAGGTCTCAGCCTCACGCATGCTGTGCATGTGTGCGTGTGTTATGTCTCCCTACCCTGGGGTGACCCTGGACTTCATCTCCTGTCTCTGGGCCCCCTGAGGCTGTGAAAACTGAAGCTGTCCTTAACCTCCAACTTTCATTTAATTTTGTAGACTCTGGGTATATCTTACCCTCATCAGTTCATTTAAAAAACCTTTTTTAGTCCAACATTTGGAACAGTTTCTAGCTGGATGGTACATCTTGTACCATAAGTCTGTGCAGTTACAGAAGCAACAGTTCTCTCTCCAAGTGATGTGAAATAAAACATGTAGAAACATCACTGAGTGTAATTCAGATTTTATTGCTTATTATGTCATTCCATACAACTTTAGGTAAACAGACGTTGAGAAAATATACTGGGAGTATTAAACAGATGATGGCAATATTGATGAGAATGTTCAAGTGTTTTACATAAGGTAGTAAGAGGCACCGCTGCCACCATCACCCCCCCCCCGAAATTTGTACATTTCGTATAAAAAGAGTAAAAATAGTTCATTGGCATTTAACTAGCATTATTCTTTGTAATCTATGAACCACAATATGCCTGAATAATTTCAGAATCTTCAGAGCAAAACAAAGCATTTTCTTCCACTAGCAGACATAGCAGTTTGTTTCTTTAAAAAACAAGCAAACAAATCAGCACAACAAAAACTATACACACAACCCCAAAACAAGAACGCTGGCATATTCAAGTGGCCCTGAATTTCGACGTTTCTATCGTATTAATTCAAGAAATAAAATGTGACTCAGCATTTAAAAATGAGACAAGCTTCTTCACCATAGTTATACTTACTTTATAATTGAAACGATTTAACTGAAGCCAATGTTAACCCAGCAAAAACCATGGATATAACTCAAACTGCTCTTTTGATAAAGAAATTTCTTTAAAAGTTAACTATTCTTTAAAAACCCAGACCCGAGCTGCACAGGTGTAATTGAGGAACCAACAACTGACTCTTCCAGAAACCACAGCAGTAGTTCTAAGTGCTTTTCAAGCTGGGGAGTACATACAGAGTCACTGTAAATCGCACATACACATCAGTAACTTCCTGCTAAAACAGCATCTGAAAGACTTCTATGTCTATTTTTACAAAGATGAGTGGGCTCAGACATACATTTGGATACTTGAAAAGAAACAATGCTTGAAATGTGGTTTTATGTGAAACCACTTAGAAGAACTCAGTTATCAAACAACTAAAAATACACAACAACAGATAAATAGGAATTTATGAAAACCATTGTCTCTAACAATATAAAAATTAAATATTAAGGCATCTTTTACCCCCATTTTGGTATATGCAGCAAAGGGAACGGTTTTAAATAGGAACCAGCACTTCTAGTCAAATGCTTTCTAATGTATTTGGCAGATTTGTTTTTTTTTTTCTTTCTTTCTCCTATTCCACATACCATTGAAAGCTCTCATGATCAAACATAACCCAAACCAGGAGGAAAGTATAAACAGATATTCATTTATTAAAAAGCAGTTCACCCTTGAAAAATAAAAAGGAACTACAAAGAATATTATGTATAAAGTTCAAATACTAGTATTTAAATTTCTCTGAAGCAATTTATGCTTCAGTAATTAAGAGAAAGAAGGGATGAAGACATAAAGACGAGAAGCCTATTAATATGGATCACGCTGTGAACTCACTGTTCACTCAGTCTTCTGCTCCATTGGGATGAGAATTTGAAAAGCGCTTCATACTCCTTAAAAAAAATCACATCCACCAGAATAAGATCACATAAATTAACACTGATGATTTATAATTCTCCATATTTGTCCATTTATAAAGGCCAATTGGCTTTATAAAGTATACTAAACAGTAACATTTTCACCTTTTATTAAGGCAAGTTTGTGAAAGTAATTTAATACAACCAGATCTCGTCATGAACTTTCAGCTTAAAACATGTTTTTACATAAGAAACATACAAAAAAAATTGTTTTATAGAAAGCCACCTCAATACCAGAAAAGAGTAATGAAAGATTTTGAACCCAGTTTACTTTTTAAAGGATGCTGTTCCTCCCTCGTCTCAAATTCCAAGTGCTATTCATCATCTTTAGAGCCAGTTTTGCTTAACTATAAAAAAAGATGAAAGAAATATTCAACAAACTTAAGCTTTCATATTATTTGAGTTCACTATTTCCACATCATATCAAGTCAACATTTACAGTTAATAGAACAACAGGCAACAAGGTTCAAGTAACTTGCACCATCTACAGCTTCCACCGTATGGAAATACTTTTCAACTTTAGCCTCAGCTACTTTAAACAGGATTCTTTGAAAACATAACCTCAACAGAACAAGAGGGGTAAAAAAATCCCTTGAAGCTTTCCAAGAAATAAATTGGAACCAAGAGTATACAAAAGGTACCATTTATAAAATGAATGATATTCTTCTATTTTTGTTTTTTTACAAACAATAAATTCTAAAATTTTAACAATGTATAAAACACTTAAGACTTATCATCTTAACTACATAATTCTTACAGTTTTGGAAACGTGACACAAGTCTCAAACTGCGCTTCTCAAACATTTTGGCTCCGGGACCTCTTCCCACTCTTAAAAATTGAGGATCCTAAAGAGATTTTTTGTTTTTTAAAATGTACATTATACCTACCTGCATTTGAAAAATGAGAAGTTTAATTCATATAAAAATAACAGGGGCTTCCCTGGTGGTGCAGTGGTTAAGAACCCACCTGCCAATGCAGGGGACATGGGTTCGAGCCCTGGTCCTGGAAGATCCCACATGCCGCAGAGCAACTAAGCCCATGCGCCACAACTACTGAGCCCATGTGCCACAGCTACTGAAACCCGCATGCCTAGAGCCCATGCTCTTCAACAAGAGAAGCCACCGCAATGAGAAGCCCACGCACCACAACAAAGAATAGCCCCCACTCGCCACAGCTAGAGAAAGCCCATGTGCAGCAACGAAGACCCAACGCAGCCAAAAAAAAAAAAAAGTAAATAAATAAAATAAATTTAAAAATAAATAAATAAAAATAACAATAATGATAACCCAGTCACATTTTAAAAATGAAAAACTGCATTTTCTAAAACAAGAAACCAAAACTTAAAGTGACGAGTAGTGTTGTTTTACATTTTTGCAAATCTCTTTATTATCGAGCTCAACAGAAGATAGCTGGGTGCTCACAAATCTGCTTCTATAGTAAGGCAGATATAATGGAAAATGGCCAACAAAAACACAGTCCAAGTACTAGGAACAAACGGAGTGAACAGAGAAATGAACGTACTTAGATCCTAAACCCACTTACTATCTTAGAAAATTCTGGAAAACGCAAGAATATAAAAGCACACATTCCATTAGTGCTCTAATAGAGAACGTAGTGATGGCATCATCACACTTCATGCAGCCTCTCATATTTTGATGCAAATAGTCTGAACCTGACAGTCCCTCAAAGAGGGCCTCCAAAGACCACATGTGGAAACCACTAGCTTAGAGTAATGGATTCTGAGTCCAAACCGTGTCTTCTTAAAAATCTCTCTCCCATCTCCCAAGATTACTGGATTATTTGAATTTTACTTTCTTTTTTGGCTTAAAATTCTAATTTATATTAAGAAAGTCTCTCTTAAAAACAAACTGGGGGCTTCCCTGGCAGTGCAGTGGTTAAGACTTTGCCTTACAATGCAGGGGGTGTGGGCTCGATCCCTGCTTGGGGAACTAAAATCCCACAGGCCTCACGGCCAAAAAACCAAAACACAAAAGCAATATTGTAACAAATTCAGTAAGATTTTAAAAAATTGTCCACATCAAAAACAAAACCAAAAACACTGAAAACGACACTTCTGGCTCTCGGGAAAGAGGCGCATGATCACTTGAGATGATGCATATTCTTCTCCTTTTCATGCTTGGCTGCGATGGGCCACACCAAAAAGATGGATCCTTACTCTGATTTGGGAGACAGCTCCTTCTGGAGCAGGCAGCATTTTAAGGGGAGAGCAGACTTAGCTGGTGAGATAAATACAGGTGCACCTGGGACAATGCTAAGTATCTATGAAGGATCAGTGGCAGGGGCCCAAGTCAAATGAGAGAACGCCAGAGGAGCTCCACCCACACAGATCGCTTGTATAGGGTCAGCCTCTTCCCAGGAAGGCAAGAAGTAGTAAAGGCCGACCTCAAAATTTTGCGGGTTGGGTTCCAGATGACCGCAATAAAGCAAACATCATAATAAAGCGAGACACACGAATTTTTTGGTTTCCCAGTGCATATAAATGTTTACACTATACTGTAGTTTATTAAGTGTGCAATAGCACGATGTCTAAAAAAAGATGCACACACCTTAATCAAAAAATACTGTATTGCTAAAAAATGCAAACCATCGTCTGACAATGTAGGATTGCCACAAACCTTCAATTTGTACACAACAGTATCTACGAAGCAAGATAAAGTGAACTGAAATAAAACAAGGTCTGCGTGTACTGTGTTTCTTTATTCCAGTTGTGGCTCATGTCTCCCTACTCTCAGGTAATATTTTTGTACTAGATTTTAGAAGCACAAAAATTACTTCAAATAGGTTCTATAGAAAAGGCATCCTATGGCCCAAACAGCTGGCTTCAAAATAAACTTTAAGAATACATTGCTTTGGGGCTTCCCTGGTGGCGCAGTGGTTGAGAGTCCGCCTGCTGATGAAAGGGACGCGGGTTTGTGCCCTGGTCCGGGAAGATCCCACATGCCGTGGAGCGACTGGACCCGTAAGCCATGGCCGCTGAGCCTGCGCGTCCGGAGCCTGTGCCCCACAGCGGGAGAGGCCACAACAGTGAGAGGCCCGCGACCAAAAAAAAAAAAAAAGTTCCAAGTGGAAAGTAAACAATTTTCAACAACAAAACCAGAAAATCTTTCTTGACAATGGTGGGAAATTTCATTTAGGGTCTGCCGTAAAAAAAATACTTAACTTCTACTAAGAAATCAAAGCACTCCTTTTCATGGCTTGTTTCAAATTCCATATTATCTATAATTTAGTCATATTTTAGTACATCTATTCTTAAGATGTACTTACATAAACAGGCACACTTTACTGTAGTTATAACTCATTTCTACTTTTCCATTATTAAAAAAAGAAAACCTAAAACTGAGGGTGTAGGGAAGAGAAAAATGTGAAAGATATTTCAAAAATACTTACATGCTGAACATGAAAAAGGAAACAGACATCCCAGTAAAATCCAAAGGTTGAAGGAGAGAAAATGGAAGATATAAATTTCATTACTTGATGGTAATAACTGTAACAATTTTTTGAAGACTGAAATATAAATATTACATACCTTCACCACATCAACCCAGTTCCAACCTCGAGGAAGTTCTCCTTTGTGATCTAAAGGATGAAAACAGTAACTATATATCTAAGACCAATCAGTAATATTTAAATTTAAATAAGATTTTATATACTACTCTACATAACAAATGTTATTAAAAATTTAAATAATAAAAGGTCCTTGCTTACTGAAGTGAGAAGTTGGGTCAGTTTGCTCTTTTGTGAGTTAGTGTTCATACCAGGAAGCAGGCTCAAGACAAGAGGCCTTCTCAACACGTCTGCCTGCAAACCTAAGAGGACGCCGGGCCAACTTATTTATTAACTGCTGTGCTCTGATAAAATATCCATTATTTAACCTGACATTCTTTAATCAGGGCTTTAATCTGTTGGGAGCGCTTAGAAGCAAGCTCAACCCTTTTATAAGAATTTATAGTTTATGAAGTAATTTCACTCTTTTATTCAAATTTGAAAAATAGTTTAATAAATGTAGTCTAAAAATTTTCAATCTAAAATATCTTGATTTCCTCTTTGCTTCATGTATCTATATATGTCTCATTTTATGAAACCTTCAAAATCTGCATTCAAATCAAGGACATTAATTGTATAGTAAGAGAAACAGAAACTAACCCTGTGATTCTTACAGGAGAAAAGCTGTATCACTGGAGCTCAATTTTAGATGCTAATGGCTCTTTTCTCCTTCATGCCAATAAGAATCTTATCTCACTGGTTATAAGGGGGAACGGGGACAGATCACCAATTCTGGTAACCAAAACTCACCCACAATGCCACAACTGTCCCATTAAATTTTTATTTAGAATGCAAGTTTCAAGTCACAAGCTCCTGCACCAGACTGATAGGAAGATACGGAGTTTAGGGGGGCATCACCAAGGAGAGGGAGGTAGGGAGATAGTAATGGAAGGGAACAAGTGTACGTCATTATGTATGAAAGCAACAGTAACAAACTAACTGACATATATGCTAAAACATTCTGGAAAGAGATGAACCAAAATTCTAAAAAACAGATTATAATGGCTAACAATTTACTGCTTCAGTTGTTTATACTTTAATGCTGCTTTGACAGTAGGTATAATGGAGTCCCAGATTTTCTATCTCATAAACCAATACGATCTCAAAAAATGTATTTTGAGGGCCAACACGGTTGCTTTCTTTTTATTTTGCCACAAATGACATTGAACAAAACATAAACAACCAAAAACTACCATAACTTTATAAAAGAAAGGGTGTTATTTTAAACCTCTTCACCAAAGTAAAAGGGTCACTTCTTTTAATAAAGGGCAGCTTGTAACCATACAGCAATAACACACACATACAGACATAAGTATACGTACACACTTGTGTATGTGGATAGAAATAGCTATACGCACACATGATAATGTCCTCATTTTCCTTAACTGGAAAAAAGTTTACAGATTGATGTCAATTTGCAAAGTTTTAGGTTAAATAAAGAAAAAGGACAAAATATATATTCTTAAATCTTGTTGTATAAGTAAGTCAACTACAGACGAAAACATTAAATTATTTATTGTGTTAAGATTTGATGGTATACCAGACTTCATTTCAGATAAAAGCTATATTTCAAAAAAATTTCAAAAATACACTTATCTGTCATAAAGGTAAACAAACAGGAAAATTCCAAACATGTCAGAGAGGGTACCAGTAGGACACACATCTGTACACTATTCTAATGGTCTACAATCTTCAGATTCATTTATAGTTACTTTGCCACTTGACCTTCTTCTCAAATGTTTATCTCTTGTGGTAAAGTAGTAGTAAATATTTTCAATATACATCTGTGACCTAAAACAGTCTCTGATCCAAATGTTCCAAGAATGAAGAGTATAGAGAACTAATCTTCTAAATCTAAATATACTTATTAAGCATCCATATGATACCAAAAAGCAACCCAGTTATGTGTGTTATCAAAGAAAAAAAATAACACAAACCTGTTTTATCTGCCAGCTTACGTTTCTGGGCTTTTGAGAGTTGTTCTTTTTTGTCTTTTTTCTTACTTGATGGGGCTGTGTTAGGAGTTTCAACTGAGATGATATTGCTTATGGACGTCTAGAAAAAAAGAACAAATTCTTAGACTCAAGCCTTAAAACTTACTGAATTACACTAAATATGGCTATATCCTGAAATGAGTTGACAATTTTTAGGTTTGTGAAGTAAAAGAATCCTTTATTATTGTATTCATTTATTAGATCAGGAACCTTAGCACATTATTGGTTTCACTCTCCTGAAAGTTCACATTGAAGGCCAAAAAATTAGTTATACTGTTATAACCAGGTCCCTGAGAAACAAGATCTGATCCCAGGATTATGCCGAAGCTCTGAAGTGCCAAGGTAATTTTACAATTCAGTTAATGCGCTAGTATTTGAAAGTTAAATGTCTTTAGAAAAATCACATATGCCTACTTAGAACCTCCTGGTTCCCAGAGGAAATGAAGGGAATTTTTTAAATATCTGGGGTCACGTAGTCAGATAGACAAAACTTAAAATGCTCACTACGTGCCAAGCACTGCCGTAAATGTTGTACAGCTATCACTCATTTGATCCTTAGTACAATCTCACGAGGTAGATACTATTATAATCCCCATTTTACAAATGAAAAAACAGAGCACCGAGAGACTAAGAAACTGCCCGAAATCACACAGCAAAGGAGTGCATGCTCAGGGCCATGCGGTCTGGCCCCCGGTCCAGGAGCTCTCACGGTCCAGGAGCTCTCGCCCTCCACTGCTTCTCCAGCTGCCTGTCAGCGTCCACTTGTGTTCATGGGGAACGTGGAAGCCAGAACTGCTCGTGGCCTTTGGTTTACAAGACAAAACTCAACTGATACTGACCACTGAAAGTCTTGGAGTGCGTGACTTGGTGCAAAGGGGTCTAACACATACCTGCTTAAGGTTATAAAAGATGATTATTTCCTAAAATAATTCTACAAATAAAATAATTTTTTCCTATTTAATGAAGTCTCCTTAAGCTGCAACACTTTCCAATTGAACTGTGGCAGGACTACTTCCAACTAAATAAGCCTCGTGGAGAAAGTACGTAATTTCATATGTATTTCAGCACTAGGTAAGAAATCTTCTGTCTGAGCTTTATGAAGATGTTAAATACACTTGAAAAAGTATTTGGTTCTACACAGCTCAGTTCTGGCACACCCATGAAGTATTCTAGGCTTATGTGAAGGGTAAAATCTAGAGAATATAATTTCATTTTTAACGATAAGCAGACACTAAGAAATCTAAAATTCACTGTTCTTATTTAACTCAGATGTGACTATCATTTTAAATCTAACACAAAGTCTCCCTCCAATTTTTAAAAAATAATAACTAGCAAAAATGAATTACTAGCAGAGTGAAACCAAAACAAACAAAGTATGGTGAAACTGAATGCCCTGCTCACAGCCGAATGGACAGGATGGTGATTCTCCATGAGCTGCTCTTTGCTGTCCTTGGCATATTCAAACAATGTGTAGGTCATGGCCGTCCCGAGATTGACTTCCACTGCTTCCTGTAACTTGGCTAATATGCTCTGCTTTACAGCAGATGATCTGCAATGCACAAGATATACATCGCTAAGAGAAAAGTAAGAGAGACAGTTACCCTGCCCCCGCCCCCCAACAGAAAACACCTCATGAAAACGGAACACTACTCACATGGTGTTGTTAAAAAAGGCGTTCATAGATATGATTGGAGGTGTCTGGGGATAGGTTTCTGTCCAGGAAATCTCTATTAGGAAGGCTTTGGGATCACCATTTTCACCTATCTGAAGAAAAGGGAAATCTTAGGCTTGTAGAAAGTGCTACAAGGGCAGAATATTAAATGATGATCTTTAAAATGCTGACTTCTTTCCAATGCTCGTGATCAGATCAGTCATGTCATATCTTGAAAAGTTCAGGGTTTGGGCTAAGACCCAGCAGAGGGTGAGGGCTCAGTCTTTGATTAATCTGTCTTTTAACTCACTCCTAGGCTGTTTTAAACAGCTTTAGCTGATGTCCATGGCCTGTCTCTCTCATCAGCCCTCCCATCTTTTCGAGCCCCGAGATTATGTGTGACACATGTATTTTTTTGTTTCATCAAAGCTTTCTGAGGACAAAGATAAGACATCAACTATGGGAACAAGAAGAGAATGGACAAAAATGAAAATCCACAAACTTGAAACACCTCATTTTTGTCTTAAGTTTTCCAATTGCTAAATCATAAGAGGCTTTAAGAACAGGTAAACTGATATGCATTTAGCACGATCCCAAGAAAGTAGAAAATGAAATGTAAAATTTATAGAAAAAAGGAAAGGGTAGAGAGATAAGGAAAAGGAGTGCCTTAGGCTGGACATAAACTCCTGAAAAAGTTTTAAAAAATTTTAGGGACTTCCCCGGTGGTGCAGTGGTTAAGAATCCACCTGCCAATGCAGGGGACACGGGTTCCAGCCCTGGTCCAGGAAGATCCCACATTCCGCGGAGCAACTAAGACCATGTGCCACAACTACTGAGCCTGCGCTCTAGAGCCTGTGAGCCACAACTACTGGAGCCCACACACCTAGAGCCCATGCTCCGCAACGAGAAGCCACCGCAGTGAGAAGCCCACGCACTGCAACGAAGAGTAGCCCCCGCTCGCCGCAACTAGAGAAAGTCAGCGTGCAGCAACAAAGACCCAATGCAGCCAAAAATAAATAAGTAAATTTACTTAAAAAAATTTTTTTAATTGAGGTATAATTGACATACATTATATTATTCAGGTATACAACATGATTCAATATTTGTATATATTGCAAAATTATCACCACAATGAATCTAGTTAACATCCATCACCCCACATGGTTACAATTTTCTTTTTCTTGTGATGAGAACTTTTAAGATCTACTCTCTTAGCAACTTTCAAAGTACACAATAGGGTATTATCAACTGCAGTTGCCATGTTGTACATTACATCCCCACAACTTATTTACTTTATAGTTGGAAGTTTGTATGTTTTGATCACCTATTTGACCTGAATTTGATATCTTTTCTATTTCTTTTGCTCTCCCCAGCTTTTTATTTTGAAAGCTTTTACAGAAAACCTAGAACAATGAACATTCACTGACACGTATCTTATTCACCACATACCTATTATTCCACCTGCCTTCTCTTTCTTCCACTATAGGACCAACTCCCTTTCCCCAATGTATGTGATTTTTTTCCTTTGGCATTTGTTGAACCATTTGAAAGTAAACTGCAGACATCATGAAATGTCCTTAAACTAAAGTATCCTAAGAATAAGGACCTTCTCCTTTATAACCACAAAACCATTAACACACCCAAGAAATTCAACATTGATACAAAAATATTATCTAATTCATAACTTATATTAAAAGTCACCAATTGTATCTAAAGTGTCCTTTAACAAAGCACTCCCTCAACCCCCAAATCCATAATCCGTTGAGGATCGTGGATTACATCTGGTTGTCAGATCTCTTTATTCTGTTTTAATTTAGAACAGTCCCCAGTACCCACCCCACCTCCTAAATGTCTTTCATGACAAAAAGAACCTAGGCCAGTTTTCTTGTATAAGTCCCCAGATCAGGACTGACTGTTTCCTCTGTTCAGATTCAGACTAAACGGCTTTGGTAAATGGCTTTGATAAAGATACTGGGGAGGCGATGTGGTGCACTCCCCCAGCACCAAATAATGAGGCACGTAAGATCTTCCAGAATCATTAGTAGTGATAACCAAGTTTGATCACTTGGTTAGGGTGATATTCTCCAGACCTCTTCAATGGAAAGGTATCTTTTTCATTTTGTAATTACGAAGAAATCTGTGGGTGGTACTACAAAACCATGTGCATAGCTTGTTTCTCAACAACTTTTCACCCAAAGGTTTCAGTATCCATTAAGGATCCTTGCCTGACACAATCATCACATTGGTTGTTGCAGAATGATGATTTTCGAATAAAACTATGGAATGATTCATGAATCGGCATCTCATTCTTGCACAGGGCAATGCTAATCTCTTCTGTAGTATTTTTGGTATATGTGCTGCTTTGTGGGTTTTTAAATACTTAATATTAAACTTCAGTCAAGACTTAAAAAATTTTCACCCTAAATTGTTACTTGACTCACTTTTATTTTCTGACCACTAATGTTTTTATTCACATCTCCTTACCCTCAATCATACCCCACATCAATATAAGGTGAGGCTTAGAAATTATGTCAAATAAACTTCGGGATCTGTTGCTATACTTACATAAGTTGATTACCTGCATAATGGACGTCATCGGTTTATGCTTGTGTTTTAAGTAGAGATAATTAAAAAGTAATAAAAGTGGTGGGTGGGATGAATTGGGAGATTGGGATTGACATATACACACTAACATGTATAAAATAGATAATTAATAAGAAGCTGCTGTATAGCACAGGGGACTCCACTTTGCTGTACAGTAGGAAAAAAAAAGTAATAAAAGTTACTTGCTTTATGCAGTCACTAAACCCTTACTCAAAGTATAAGTAGAAACAAACTGTCACACGCCTCACACTGTGCGTCACCCAAGAGACAAGAGCACTACTGTCTTCAAGGGAGACAGACCTTCAGACAACTCACTAAACTGCAGCACTAGGAAAAGTTCCAAAGCGACAGAACATAGCATGAGGAAATGGGGACTAGTCGATCCTACTTTGAAGTCAGGGGACAGAGAGGAGACATGGCCCACGTACGCCACAGAGGAGGCTTGGGGTAAGCATTAACGGAAGAGTAGGATGCATGATGGAGGAGAGGCGAGGGCAGGAGCAAACAACGTGTCCCAAGACAGAGTAGTAACGACAGTGCAGGGAAACATTTAACAAGGTATCATGTCTAACAGATGCCAGTGCCAGGAAAGTCTGGAGACACAGTCCAAAGCAAACAGAAGGCACTGGGTGTCAAGCTGAGGAGTTTAGTCCTCATTCTATAGGAATGGAGAAACTTTTTTTTTTTTGGGTTCGCGGGCCTCTCACTGTTGTGGCCTCTCCCGTTGTGGAGCACAGGCTCCGGACGTGCAGGCTCAGCGGCCATGGCTCACGGGCCCAGCCACTCCGCGGCATGTGGGATCCTCCCGGACTGAGGCACGAACCCGCGTCCCCTGCATCGGCAGGCGGACTCTCAACCACTGCGCCACCAGGGAAGCCCATCAAACAATTTATTTTAAATGGTGACAATGTTAACAACCATAAATCTTGCATAAGTCTTTTATAAAAAAAGTTTTCCATACCACCCACTACTACTTAAAATCATTCAGATAAACGGTTTATGTTATTTATTTATAAAATAAAATACTGGTACTGTTCCACGTTGAAAAAGAGTTATAAGCAACCTTTATTTTAAAGAAAAATTGACATTTCACATACTCATAAAATATTCACGCACATTGGTAATACAGAATTAAGAAAATATCAACTTTTCTTGACTAAATTATAGGGTAGTAAAAAGAATGCTAGACTTGGACTAGAGACCTGGATTTTAACCCTAACATTTATCAATATTGGCTGTGGGAGCTTGGGAAGTTAGGACTGAGAAGTTATCTTTAAGATTAGAAGGTAAAACCACATAATTTCTAATGTTTCTTCTGTTTCTAACATTTTAAAATTCTCTTACAATAAAAACGTTTATCTTAGTTTTTAAAAGTTCTGAATTAAGTTTTCAAAAGTTGAAAATAACTCATGTCATAGTGATGAGTTTTCATTTAAATGATTCAGCAAATCCAAAGACATAATAAGTATAAACCACTAAATTAAAAAAAAACAAACAAAAAACCCCAGCATTTCAAAAAGCAACTTTCGTCTTTTCCCACAAAGTAGTAAGTGCTTCTATTCATGCCAGGTCTTACCCTATATTGAAATGAAACCGGACTTAATTCCCGGAAACTTTCATCTCCTTCATAAATAGAACGCAATGCCTCCAGTTCCATCTGAAAGAAATGAATCACAGGAGCGTTGTTTAGTCATATAAACGGATTAGAAATAGAGGATCTTTTGTTTCTGGTTCAAGTCCACTCAACAGCGTAAAACTTGGCTGACTTACATGGCGTTCGACGTTTATGACCAGGTGCTATACTAACACATCACAACCCCAATCCTTTCTTTAACACTATGCGCCAGGCACCGCTAAGCATTTTGCAGTGGATTATCTCACTTAATTCTCACATCAATCTCACATCAAAGATCTTACTGTTTTCTCCTTCCCACTAGGGAGGAAAATAAGATTCAGTTTAAAGCAACTCCAGAGCCTGCGCTTTCTCACTCTGCTAAAGGCTAGCCTGGGGTAGAAAGAACATTAAACTTGCGGACCAGATGAAACACAAGTCATTCCCCATGATTTACACATACTATTTATATTTGTAATCCCTACCACAGAAGGACACAAAACTTGAAAAAACACTTACAGACAATAAAAAGAACTTTTAAAAAATGGTAGTTAGAAAGAGGTTGACAAGTATCTATCCAAGATGGGAAAAAGGACTGCAAGAGAAAATGTAACTAGCAATCCTTGGCTGGAAATACTTCTTAGAATGCTGCAGGCTTACAACTGAGAAGACCCAATCACTGTCGTGATTACTGACAAAGACCTCAGAAGAGGTAAAGAAAAGAAAGACTGCACTTCCGCAGATATTTTAGTTTTCAAAAAGATGCATATTGAGAATTCTACAAACTACAGGATGGTGAGTTTGACCTACACGGACAACATTTTAAGACAGATCACTAAAGAAAGAGTTTGTGAGGACCCAGCAGAGTTAAGGAGTAGCCATACGACTTGGGAAGAATATGAAAAACAAGGTATATGTTCACAACCCTTCTTAGGGAGGGTGACTGGATTGGTACATTAGGGAAAGAGACAAAACAGTCTACCTGGATTTCAGCAAGGCCCCATGGGTTTCTCTTGCTACCTTCACAGAAAAAAAAATATAAGAATTCAAACTGGATCAAGGAATAACTGAGATGGGATTAGAAAAACAACATTACTCAAAATGTAGTGTTACTCCTTCTGTCCTTAATCCTTCCCTATATCTCAATTAAATGACTTGGACAGGAACAAAAATTGGAGGCAGGCTTATCAAATTTGTGGATGACAATTTGATGGGATAGTGAATCACGCTGGCAGCAGCAGAAGAATTTTAAAAGCCCTTTAAAAAAAGCTAACAAGATGAAACTTTACAGGGTAAGAAGAACTTGTCCTTAGGTACCTAAACATACAGAGCAGAAGACGAAAGACAAACTGCTCTGCATAAAGCACTTTAAGGGTTTTTGTTGACAGTAAATCTAACTGTAGAAAACTGGAATGCCCCAATTTTAAAAAAAGAACATAAATAAACTTATAATGTGTCCACAGATACACAGTTCCAGAAGAGTGAAGGAACTAAAAAGAATGAACAAATGGAGAAGAGCTAAAAGGAACCAGTTGGCATGAGAGGAGGAGGTCTGAAAAACTGGGCAGGAAAATGGTCTTCAAACATCTGAAAAACTGTCCTGTGGAAGAAGATGCTATTTTACTGTTAAATGGAGATGGCTGGTTCTCACAGCAGGAATTTCAATTCAGTAAATCTGAGCTAGAGTGCAGGTAACTGTTTTTCTAACAACCACCCAAACAGTTCTAGGCGGTGGTCCATGGGCCAAACTTTGAGAAACCTTACACTATACGCTCCATGCTACACAGTAAGAACTGTTCACGCCTTAGCTTAGAAACTCAACTGACAAGAATATTTTAGAAGGATTCAGAGACATCACAGCTTGTTGAACTTTGGGTCTTCTTTAAAGGTAACTTCCAATACCGCGATTCCATGACATGTGTCATGTAAAAGTACTAACTTTCAAGCAGTATACTCTAAATGAAAAGTGAACACCTACTTACAACTCTAATATCATATGATTCAATGTCAAAGTGGCATTTCACGAGAAAATATCTGAGTGTAAACCATACAATTCCGGTAGTACATGGATGGTCAAAACAGACTTCGTATCCACTGGACAACTATCAGATGGATATATTAAATGATTCCTTCCACCACGCAATATGGCCAGAAGACACTAGTGTCATTATTTCCCTGCACCAGAAATTTAACTAACTCAATTAACTTTCTCTACCAGCCAACAGATTTTAAAATGTAAAGGTGATTAGATTCCCAAAGAGCCTAACTCAGAACACAGGCGCTGCACAACACACGGGATTTAAGGCGAGCCAAGTGCACCGGGTCGCGGGCCAAGGACACTCGTCCTCGTTATCAGGAGACCTGGGGGGAACCCTAGGGTTTGCAAAACTCAAAACTGCAGTGCGGGGGAGGAAGGGCAGAGGTGGTCCCCTACCCAGGCAGGCGCGCTGGGCCTCTCCGCGCAGGACACCCGCAAACATAGGGCACCTCATTGAGGCTGCCGCCGTAGAGGCGAGGGCACGTGCGGGGCCGGGGAGGGGCACCCCGCCTGCGCGGGAAAGGAGCGTCCACCGGACTCACCTCCTGGTCCTCGTTGGCACTCATCGCGCCGGTCACGGGGCGCCTCCTGGGCGGACGGCGTTCGCGACAACGAAAATAATGCGAGGGCAGTGGCCCCAAGGCCGGGGCGTCCCTCTTCTGCGCCTTGGGCTGCTGAGGCACACCCTTAGCACCGCAGACGAGAGTCTCGCGGGTTCCCGGTCCCCGGGCAGCGCGAAGCCGTCAGCGGAGGATTGCAAGCGAGGAGCCAGCGGCCTCCGCAACAGTGGAGCCAGCGAGTCGCAGGAGAGGGAGAAAGGCGGTAACGGCAGAGACCCCGCCCCCTCCTTCTCTCTTCTCCTATTGGCTCCTTCTCTCCCCGCCCCCAGCTCCTGCTCCTCTAGGAAGCGGAGCGTCTTCCTTACGTTTCGTGGAGCAGCGTAGAGTTCCGGGACGGCGATTGGCCTAGGGCGCTGTCGGTCAAGCCCAGAAAGTGCTTCCTGTGCCTGCGCGGATGGGCCCTGGGAAGTCTCGCTTGTGGGCCCCGGAACAGGGGCGGTGGTGGTAGGGACGGACCCCGGCGTTTTGTGACACCCACACCCCCCCCGCCTGCTTCCCCTGGTTCTCCCCCGGCTGGCGGCGACCGGCCACAGCTGCAGCGGGCTCGGGGCGTGCGGCCTGGGTGAGTCCGGGTCGGGAGACCAGTGGGGCCGGGCGAGACCGCCGAGGGAGATTGCTAGCGCTTAACGATGCTGGTTTGGGGGGCCTGTGATTTCGTACAGCATCAGCGAGTGCATTTCTCTTTTAGCTTCTAAAGAAAAGACACACCTATTTCTAGGGCTTCCAGGTTTAAGGGGGGTAGGGGAGGAGAGGAGGAAGATAGCGTCTGCCTTTAGAGCTGCAGCGTTTCTTCATTGGAGCTACCGGAGCAGGATTCTGCGACCCTGGGGCGGTATCCTTTCCTAAGTTGGGCAGTTGCTTCGCATCCTCAGCATCAGCTTTTGTTTCGCCATCCCGGCCCCAAACTGTCCTTCCTCTTTTGATTGTTTTGTAGTTGGACATCTTTGAATCCCATCCTTACTGGCCTTGTGTCCTGCATCCCGAACCTCCGTTAATTAAAAAATAGTGACTGCATTATTTTTTTTAACCTGCCACTTTCATTAGGTCACCTTTCTTTGCAGTCCGTCATTCTTTCTAAGAGTCTTCCTTATAATTTTATGACCACGCCAGCTTCCAGACGACTTCCGTTGCACTACACGATCTCCCATCCAGAGTGTTCGCTTCCTACTTCTGCACCTCCTTCCAGGTCATGGTTTGGTTAGTTGCTTCATTGGTTTTTTTCCAGGAGATCTGGAAATTTCTCCTATAGGCTGTCATCGAGATCCATACAACCTCTGCACTTGTCCTTTGCTGATATTCTTCCCATTTTTTGCCACCGAATAGGCACAACCATTTCAAATGCCAACGCTTTTAAGGTACAGTGTGGCAAGATTTTCTGATACAGTTTTCGTACAGTTATTTTGGGACAGAGTTACCGTAATTTAGAGCTGCACTGTCTGATATAGTAGCCAGTCGCCATAGGTAGCTATTGAGCGTTTGAAATAGGCTAGATGCGCTCCGAGTGTACAATACACACCAGACTTTGGAGACATAGTATTAGAAAACGTAAAACATCTCACTAATAACTTTTATAGTAATGTTGAATTGATAATATTTTGGACATATTGGTTAAGTAGAATATTATTAAAATGAATTTCATCCCTTTCTTTACTTTTTTAATGTGACTACTAGAAAATTTTAAATTATTTATGTAGTTTGTATTATATTTCTCTTGGACAGGATTGTGATTTTAAGTGATTTAAACGTAATTTCTGTTTCCCCTTATTTCCACTCCATATTCAAAGGACACAGCGAATTCTCTTGAGCCTCTGGGGTTATTAAAGGAAGTGAGTATTTAGGGCTCTAATCTAGACTCTTTGGGATCAAGCAGTGGTACCTAAATTGTGTTTTGACCATCTCTTTTTTATTTTCACCCCAAATTCACTAGAACTAGAATCTGTTTCTGAACATGCAGTCCTTTGCCCTCGTACCTTAATCCTGTCCTCAGAATATCTGTTTAAGCATTTCTAAAACTTCTGTCTATTGTGGACATTTGTCGTTTCTGATAGACTTTCCAAACCAATTATCTAGTACCCATTGTTCCGTCAGTACTTAAGTGTGAGAAGCCTAATAGTCTTTACTAAATTAACTTTTCAGTTAAAAATACTGTTTTGCTGATCAAGTGGTAGCCTAAGTGCTCCTAACTTCTCACAGAAGTTGTGTTTGAGTCCTGTATGATATACTGGTGGAGATCACCTTTTAAACCAACCATGTGATACATGTTTTTGAAAATCAGAAATTATTCTTAAAATATAATAATTTTGTTCACAATAAACACTTTTATATAATTGCTTTTCAAAACGTAGTGCATCTTGGATTGATATAGACCGCTTCTCAGCTAAAGGGCACAGTAGAAACATGTCCTCTTAGAGGTTTCCATTCATTATTAGCTTTTCCCTTGTAGATTTTCCTTTAAGTAGTACATTTGTATTAATTGCGGAGAAATGAGAAAACATAGCTACTTAGATAATTAGCATATTATTTTAATGCTATCTCAGGAAATCAGAAATTAGATGTTAGCAATTACAGAGAAATTAGAGATAGTTGCACTTTATTGTATATGTAAATCAATCGTTGTTTTTCTTTATAACTGAAATCAGAAGTTTGATCACCCTCCTGCTTTCCTGGTCTGTTTATCCCAAAGTTTTGTGTGGTTTTGAGATGTTACTGGAAATAGTGATTTGTCTTAAAGTTGACTGCAACCCTTGTATATGAAAGATTTTTTAAAATATTATACCAATAGTTATTAAATTTTAATAGGTCCAATTCAAGAATTAAAGTTTGCCCTTTTGCTCTCTTCTTTTGGATTTGCTCGACAGTTTGTAGACACTCAAAGACTTTCGCCTTTTTGTAATGTTTTTCAAATGGTGGAGGTTCATATGTTAGATGTGGATGTGGGCTTTTAAGAAATTAATTATTAACGTATTAACATTTGTATTTCAGAATTTTCCTGACACCTTGAACATGAGCCCCACACAATGGGACTTCCCTGTGGAATTATGTTGTCGGCCTATGGCTTTTGTTACTCTCACAGGCCTGGATGTGGTTTATAATGCTGTCCATCGAGCTGTCTGGGATGCTTTCTGTGCCAATCGGAGGGCTGATCGGGTACCGATTTCTTTCAAGGTGCTCCCAGGTGACCATGAGTATCCCAAATGTAGACCCAAGGTAATGACATTATGATTGCAAGGGGACTCTCCTTCTCCGTCTGTCTCTTTCTTTGCATGTGTGTATCTTTTCTGTTCCTATATCTGTGCAGGAAAACCCCTGAGTTTATCAAGGGTATGGTTACAGTGGTGCATGAAGAAAACTCCAGACGTTTTCCTGTATGTAATATACTACAGATGTATCTAATAATCCCCCCTTTTTTTTTTTACTCCAGAAGAATAATTACTTTATAATTATTAAGCTTTCTATCCTATGAGCCTAGGTTTTCCATTTTTTATTTGTTGTTAAAACGAGACCCCAAGGCTCCATAATTTTAACAAAGACCTCTCTAAAAGGAAGGTCTCACCATTGCCAGTATCATTATAAAATCCATAGTCTCTGCAGTTTGGTTTGATTTCACAGACATATTTTGAGCACTTGCTTTGGTTTAGAGTACCTGGAACTATGCAACAGGCTGGTGATAAAAATCTAAATAATACATACTCTCTGTCCTTGATGAGTTCTACATAAACTAAAACAGTTTATTCAGTGTGGAATAGGAGGGGTATTAAGTTCAAAACTGACTTTTAGAATGAACATCATGGTAGAGACTCTGATTTACTTAGAAAAAAATACTTAGAATGATGATAGTATGAATTAATAATAGCAACTCATACATGTGTATTGCTTATTATGTCAATTTGCTTTTTAAGAAAGTTGTGTACATTGACTGATTTGTCATTTATTGTAATCTTTTCAGGTTGGTCTGAAAGTCAGTTAATAAGACACATTGATTAAAATAAACTGCCTACTTTTTCTTCCCCCCCTAGAGCAATGTTTCTGACAGACTGGTCTTTGGACCAAGTATGTCATCACTTGGGGTGTTTATTAAGCATGTCAATACTGTCTGTCCTCAGTTCAAGTTGGGGGAGCGTAGGCCCTGTAGATTTGGTCACCTGCTGATCCTTTTGCATGTGTTTGAGACTCACACACCACAGACACAGTTTCATATATCCAGCGCCAGGAACTATGAGCTTTCTCTGAAACTGTGGGAGCAATAGCACCCCTGGCTCTTACACACTTCTTTTAATGCGGTGTTTGTGTCAAGGAAGCCCAGCAACCCAGCAGGACTCACCCCTTTCTTCCTGGATTCATTCTTCAGAATCCTCATTTTCCTCCTGGTTCTTTCCTGAGTTCCCAAGGTGTTTTGTGTCAGATTTCCTTCCTGTCCTCTCTTTCCTCACGTGGAATAACCGTTGGACCAGCGTGAACTGGAGTAGTCTGGCCAGTGCGGGTGCTTTGGGGGTAGTTTGAGATTTCACCCGGCTTCTTCAGGGCATCCCCTCCCCATGACCTGGCACTTAGCGCTGACCCCCAGTGACTGCCCTTACGCTTCTGTATTTAAGAATTGTCCTTCATTTTTTTCTTTCACCCACAAGTGAGGTGTAATGCCATCCTGGTGACACGACTTTGAAGCATATGAAGCCATATTGGGTTTTAGAGAATATTTGAGCAGCTTCTACAAGAACGGAATCTGGGATGGTGAGGAATATAAGTAGAATTTATTGGGAAGAAGGCCTGTTTACTTCCAGGGTATTTGAAAGCCTTGACATCATTAGAAATGCTTTAGCTTTGGTCAGTCTTTAAATGGAAATGGTACTGGCTCTAGGGTTGAGATGCTACCTCCAGTACTTGCTAGCTCTTACCTGATCTCTGTTAAGCCTGAATGTCCTCATCTTAGAAATGCGGCGTGTGTATACTGAATGAGATATATACAGAGAAAGTGCCTGCACTCCATAACAGGTGATTTCTGCTGCTCTTGTTGTCAAAATACCTCTTTTCAACTTTGGCTAATGTTTGCAGAGAACTTCGTATGAATGGTACATTCCCAAAGGGATCCTGAAGACAGGCTGGATGAATAAACATCTGAATCTGGTGCCAGCCCTGGTGGTTGTGTTCTACGAACTAGACTGGGATGAGCCCCAGTGGAAAGAAAAGCAGTCTGAGTGC